TTCGATTTAAATTGATGCCAAACAGGTGCGCGTAGTTGCTCTCATGATAAGATACACAGTCAAACTGTCTAATTTGTTGATGTATATTCGGGACACTCTATTTAAAATGGAAAAACCAGTCATTTTATGTTTGAATCCAAAGAGTGTTAATTCTGACTAAAGAAGCCGAGTCCTTTTCAAATAGCGTAAAACGTAATTAGGTGAGATATATGCTAATCAGCATACCAATGTCGTCCTTTTCTGACGTCGCGGAAATGCACACAAAACACGCAAATGACGTCAACTAAAAATGTTGTGTTATTTTCTGGCAATTTCTATTACATTTGAAGATATGGTATTTATTACCTGGTAATGACGATGCAAAAATGGGTCAAAATACATCTACACAAACAGGAGAATATGGTAATCTGGAGAACTAACTTATATATGTCGGATAGCCATCCAAAATCCGCTATTACGTGCGTTCACATGTAGTACGTTGTCATCTTTCCTTATAAATTGTGTAACTACCAAAGCGTAACGCTCTTATTGGGGAACTTTGAATTGGAATAGTTTGGTTCACCGTGAACAAAGATAACGAAAATATAACGTCCGTGTCCTGCAACAAATACTCTCCATGTGATCTGAGTTACATTGACCTAGTTCTAAGAATAACGGAGTTATGCCCCCTTATCATTATACGCGTATTACCTCTCTATGGTCGTTTTGACGTCGTGAAGAAAATCCATTTTGACATTTATTGCGAGGAGTCATTTTAAATGTTGAGCGCATAATCTATGCATACGCACATAAATCCAATTCATATACACTTATGTCGTTCAGATATCAGGCTGTATTTTCTTCTGCTCACTTTTCCCGGAAAGATGCCAAAATAAAAAAAATCGTAGCACAGTGCTTTTATCGGTGCGATAAAAGCGGAGAAATTCTACTGTTTTTAACGCATAACAAAAATTTGGACAACATTTAGCAAGGTCTGTTTCTCAAACCGCAGAGGTTGTTGCACTTATATTTATACCAACGGATAGGAAATTTAATATTCTACATTTCTGTGTAATTTTATAGCCGTACGTAGATCCAGCACCACGCGAGCGCAATTCTCGCACAACGTTCACTTTTCAAAGCGTATGAAAATGTGCGCCTGAAAAAAAACTCGGCAGCCAGGGGGTTAAAGGAAGAGTAAGCTCAGCTAAATTGACAGCCCCAGCAAATATGAATCAACCCATTCAAATTCAGCTCATAATGCCTGAAAGTACCATTTTTTTCACTATATAAATGTAGCGGTGATGGTGTGAAATGTGTTCCACCAGATCTGTTGTGCCAAAAGCAACAAATATATAGAGAATCTCACCCGAGTGTCTTTTGATATCAAATATATCACCACGAGTTGAAATGTTTTTACTGTTATCAACGAGTGTTGATATATTTGATATCAGAAGACACGAGGTTGAGATTCTATTTATCATCCAAAATGACATTTCTTTAGTTTTCAACGAAAAATGCACATCTCTCATAACGGTTACTGCCATTGGACTTTGCAGTGCAGCGATGTCATAGCATTGTGATGTCATCAAGTTCATGACGTCATAGCATTGTCAAGGCATTGTACAAAATCTACTGTCAAAACGATATCTCCTAGGAGATATCGTTTGATCTCACAGAAGCAATATCTCCTGTGGAACACAGTTTTGGATGATAAAACGAAATACGGAAGATTAATGGGAGGGCACAGACACAAGCAAGTGCAACGTGATTAGACTAAGGCTTAGTCTCTGAATATATATATATTTCATAGTAACAGATAAATCCATTTAAATTGGAAAGGAGACCCACTCAGATGGGGAATTCAGAACCTGAGGGAATCTAGACTTGCTTCATTTAGGAATTTAGCATTGCAGGGAGGGCTAGGTAGTAGTGAAAATGTGGTTCAGGGACTGTGCGACAGACTACGAGAAGGTGTGTAGTGAGTGACCTCTCGCGTTTTACATAAGCCTCTAATACCTATCACAAGGGTGGCACGAGCCGGACAGGTCAGCTTAGGCTAATCACTTGTTTGTTCACCTCAGTGTGGACACGCAACAGATTTATCTAACCGTGATAATGGGATCCTGTGTTTACAAACATCATACGCTGGTTGCACGCTGTTTGGAGCTTAAGAATGGCATGATCAGTGTGATTGTTGACCCTTTGTTGACCTCACTATCTATCTTCCTTCTGTCGCTGTGTACACCTTTCTATCACTTACTTCATCTCACCGGCTGCCCATCACCATCCTTCATCCCATGACCACAGATCTCTCTACCTTCCCATCACTACCCCACCTTCCTATCATTCACGCCTTCTTCCTATCACCCATCCCGCCTTCCTATTACTCACCCAACCTTCCTTATACTCACCCAACCTTCCTTATACTTCCCTACATTCACCCTGCCTTCCTAGTACTCACAATTGACCTTCCCATTCATTCACCTTTTACATTCCTATTACTCACCCTAACCTTCCTTATACTCACCCCTGCCTTCCTAGTACTCACCCCACCTTCCTTCCTATTACTCACAACCTGACCTTCCTATTACTCTCACCCCACCTTCCTTATACTCACTCAACCTTCCTATTACTCACCCAACCTTCCTATACTCACCTCAACCTTCCTTATCACTCACCCCACCTTCTTAGTAGTACTCACCCCAACCTCAAATCACTCACCCCACCTTCTCCATCACTCATCCCACCTTCCCAGTACTCACCCCACCTTCCACATCACTTTCAACCCACCTTCCTTATCCTCACCACACCTTCATATCACTCACCCTACCTTCCTTATACTCACCCCACCTTCCCATCACTCACCCCACCTTCCCATCACTCACCCTACCTTCCTAGTACTCACCCCATCTTCCCATCACTCTCCCCACCTTCCTATCACTCACCCTACCTTTCCTATCACTCACCCCACCTTCCTAGTACTCACCCCACCTTCCTCATATCACTCACCCCACCTTCCTATATACTCACCTCCCACCTTCCTAGTACTCACCCCTATACCTTCCCATCACTCACCCCCACCTTCCTATCACTCACCCCACCTTCCTATACTCACCCCCACCTTCCCATCACCACCTCATACCTTCCCATCCTTCCACTCACCCCACCTTTCCATATCACACTCACCCCACCTCCTCCAGTACTCACCCCACCTTCCTATCACCTCACCCCACCTTCCCAGTACTCACCCCCTCCTTCCCATCACTCACCCCACCTTCCCATCACTCACCCCACCTTCCCATCACCTCACCCCACCTTCCCATACTCACCCCACCTTCCCATCACTCACCCCCCTTCCCATCACTCACCCAACCTTCCTATACTCACCCCACCTTCCCATCACTCACCCCCACCTTTACTATACTCACCCCTGCCTTCCTATCACTCACCCCACCTCTCCTATATACTCCACCCCACCTTCCCATCACTCACCCCACCTTCCCATTACTCACCCCACCTTCCTAGTACACCTCCCCACCTTCCCATCACCTTCCTTCCTACCTATACTCACCCCACCTTCCCATCACTCACCCCACCTTCCTATCACTCACCCTACCTTCCCATCACTCACCCCACCTTCCTATCAATCACCCCACCTTCCTTATACTCACCCCACCTTCCTTTCACTCACCCAACCTTCCTTATACTCACAACCCCATTCCTTCCCATCACTCTCACCCCACCTTCCCATCACTCACTTCCCACCTTCCTATCACTCACCCCCACCTTCCCATCACTCACCCCACCTTCCTTAGTACTCACCCCACCTTCCCATCACTCACCCCACCTTCCCATCACCTCACCCCACCTTCCAATCACTCACCCCACCTTCCTAGTACTCACCCCACCTTCCCATCACTCACCCCACCTTATCCTTATACTCACCCCACCTTCCCCATCACTCACCCCCACCTTCCCATCACTCACCCCACCTTCCTATCACTCACCCCACCTTCCCATCACTCACCCCACCTTCCCATTACTCACCCAACCTTCCTAGTACTCACCCAACCTTCCCATCACTCACCCCACCTTCCTTATACTCACCCCGCCTTCCTATCACTCACCCCACCTTCCCATCACTCACCCCACCTTCCCATCACTCACCCAACCTTCCCATCACTCACCCCACCTTCCTATCACTCACCCCACCTTCCAATCACTCACCCCACCTTCCTATCACTCACCCCACCTTCCCATCACTCACCCAACCTTCCCATCACTCACCCAACCTTCCCATCGCTCCGTCATCCCATCACGCACCCCTTTATCTATACCTCCCCACTACAGCTTATCCTTTCCTTCCCCCTCCACCCGCTCCTCCCCTGCCCCCTGCCTATCAACCCCCACACACACACACACCACACACACAACCATCTTCCTATATTGTCTCTGCGTCAACGTTCACCCTCCCTCCCCCACCCATCTCCATACCTGTCCACAAACCCTCGCCCTTCCCAAACCTACCTGCCCATCACCCCCTCTACCCCACCAACACCACCCCGACAAGCCATCACAAACCCATTTCCACCCTGTCCCACGCCATCACCAATTTTCTCACACGTGTCCCCACACCAACACACTTCTCCAAGCCACCCACTTCCTATCTATAATCCCCTGACATTTCACTCTCGTAATACCCCTCACAATCTGACATAACTCCGTCAGCTCAACACTGGTGAACTTTGGGTCAAGAAGCCAATGATACACCATCTAACTACAAGACGTCGAAGAAACGACACAGATAATACCAGTACTTACATTTCTATAACGGCATGTACATGGATATATGACATTGCATGGTTCAAAACGCCCATCGATACAACCTAGTTACATAACCTAGACCTAACAACGCGTCTCAGGTTGAGATATAAGCTAACCAATTAAATTAAAAACAACCACTGATACATGGATAAAAAGAAAAGGTAATAATCTTAAGACTGATCAATAATACATACCCTGGCTGTTGGAATCGCTTTCCCTGTCGCTCATCACATCAGTGAAATGCCCATCGTCAAAACAAACCAAGCATTTGAGTCAACCGAGAGAAGAGGATATATTCATATAATATTTATGACCCCAACAGCTCGAGTGTGACAGTTAGCTTGTAGTATACCCACCAGAACATCCCGCAGTCAGCGACCGACAGCAGAACAGCAGAACATCTCACGTCTTCGAAGGCAACAGTTCCGATCAGCTCTATTATTTATTTAACATCGTGTATTAAAATCACCAAGTTTATGTACAGCGCCTCGCTATAACGTGAAAGGCGCGACAATACACTGGCATATTGCGCAGCATGTAATTGTGGTACAAGTGAAATGAATTCATTTTCTCTTTTGTGACTTGGATAGAATCTCGAGTATCGGAACATATTAAACTCGGGTTTAAAGGATTGTGATCGTTAAACATGGGTCAAACGTGTAGGCAATCAGGGCTAAACGTTTTGTGGAGGAAAACTCGAGTCAAACCGGCGAGGTCTAACAATCAATACACCGCGATGACAACGTCGTGAAAAAAAAGTGAAGTTGTATTCAGCCACAGTCGTTGACGAGACGAGATTTGCATGTCACACCCGTAGGCCGGAATGGCAAACGGGCGCAGTCCTTTGTAGGTGTTGTGACTTATGTTAAGTGTGGTACACAAATCGTTATTTGTAATAAGATATGTACGTTAAGAGGTAATAGCTGTGTTAGCACTATGGGATACTGTTTGTCTCGGTTGCCGTCGAGTGTACAATTAAGTGGAAACATACATTTGTGTATATGTATTGCATTGAATGAGCATGTGCGTTGCTTTGAATGTATGCGTGGTTCGTCGTTGGGGATGTTTTGTGCCGACGCTGCCACAGATGTCGGGGAGCACCCCGTTGGACAAAAACTGTGTTGGGTGGGGTTGGGACACGTACAAAAAGTCTTCATGGCGTCAAGCTTTGGTTGTAAACATAAGTAGGAGTATCTGGCCCCGGGGTGTTTACGCCTTTGTTCTTGGGGTTGGAGAATATCAATCTGCATGCTGTTTGGGACTTCAAGATGAGACTGACTGACTGACTGAGTTTGGTTTTACGCCGCTTTTAGCAATATTCAAGCAACATCACGGCGGGGGACACCAGAAATGGGCTTCACACATTGTACCCATGAGGGGATTCGAACCCGGGTCTTCGGCGTGACGAGCCAACGCTTTAACCACTAGGCCACCCCACCACCCCTCAAGAAGAGAGGAAAGTCCTCCTGATAATCTAATAAGAAAGCGGTTAATTCTTCATACGTACGCACGGACGCACGCAACTACGTACGCATGCATGTAGTCATGCAGGTCTCAAAGGTGTGCCACTGGAGAAACACACAAAGCGGGATAATGCTGATATAAACATAATCAGGGAGAAGAGGGACTCGAACACATGATCACAGGATTCTGGAGTGCCCAAGGGACGCAACTCTGCATAGCGAAATGCAGCGCCTTGGACAACTTCGTCACCCGTGGCCTGGCCTCATAATATAATATAACACATAATACAGTCCGATGACAAAAGACCAGTGGTTAATATGATGATCACTGCACCCTGCTGGCGAATAGGATGTCGTATGATGAGTCACGTGACACGTAGAAACAAACCTGAGAGAAAAATATACGATACTCTTTAAAACTCTTGTTCCACCCTCTGCTTTTTGCGGAGAGCCCATATAAATATTCCACTGGAAGTCAAGTACCATTGACGTATACCCCATTACCCCATTATAACGAATAGTGGGGGCAACGAGCTCGGAGTCAAAATTGTTTTAAAGAGCATGTACCCGTAACAGATAAGGAGGCTATGTAAGCCTATATCGAGAGCTTCGTAACGCTGTACACATAACAGTGTTGCGTTTATCGGGGCTATGTAAGCGTGTATGGGGTTAGGAGGGACGGGGGTGTAGGCAGTGTGCGAAATAGCCACTGGTCCGCTAGCCCGTGGCTAGTAAAAATCTAGTCGGGCCAGTAAATCTCCACAGTCACTGGCCCGACTCTCCGACTTGTTAATTATATATAATACACTTTTAAACCATGCAAGATTATGGCCTGGAAAAAACGTTCATCACATTAGCAACTTAAAAATGAAACCCGTGTCAACATTCAAATTTCGGGCTTGTGAGTTATTTTGTGGGCTAATAATTTTCAGGCGTAGCTAGCCCGACTGGCTAGCACAATTTGGAAACTATTTGGCACACTGGGTGTTGGGGCATAATAGTCACTACTCACTACGTACAAACACCTATGTATAAAAGACTATTACAACAAGACGCGGAGAAGATGCAAGACCCAGGTGCACAAATTCTGGTTTACAGGTGTTACAGGGACCTTTCTACAGTGCCATGGTGGATGTCCTAAAGCCCCATACTTTAACCCGAGACTTCCGCACTATACCGCAGCACTAAGGTCGATTTGAGGCACCTATCCCGGAAGCCAAATCAACAAACTGATCTTAGCGCTAAGACTGACGAAGATTTTGGTGGATGAAAGTCATCGTTGATGCTCATGATATTAATCACTGGGTTGTCTGGTCCGGACTTGATTAATGGCAGGCCGCCGTTATAACAAACAAGCTGACAATGTAATCAGATAAGATAAACTCGTTGTCAGCCGCACCGCGTTTTCACTTTGCATTAAGTGATTAAGGCTTCTTGCTTAAAATGTAAACTGTTCATACTTTTAGTGTATATTCTTTTTTGTCAAATTCGAATGATCGTTGTTAATTTGTCTATTTCCATCATGCTTTTCGAAAAGAGCGTTAGCATCCGCGAAGCTTACATCTTGGATCAAAAGTACCACCGCTTCCAACGTGATATCATTAAGGTGGGAATTAGGAGATAAACATCATGTGTTGGCCAATTTCCGGGTGTTATTGAGTATTTGAGCACGGGAATTCATTTAGAAATATTCCCGTGCTTCAAATACTTAATAACACCCGGAAATTGGCCAACACATGATGTTTATCGACATTGTAAACACAAAAGTGAACCAAGAGGTCCACACACGTTTTTGTGTCTGCTCTCATTGACATCGAGTACGGGTACAGCAGTGAAATGTCATCAGCCGGCCGTTCGGCTGTCTCCCATGGTAGCATCTGGAACTGCTCATTTGTGACGTCATTCAGACTTTACGCCACAATATGATTTGAATGACGTCATCACAATGGTGTGAGCGATGTTTGTACGTATTAATACGCAGCGATTTTCTGGGAATCGAACACCATTCCATCATGTTTTTCAACCAATCAGATTAAAGAACACAGTGACTTTTGGTTTACAATGAAATATGACGTCATTCTGTGGCTGTGATTGTGCCACAAACGTTCCCTAACGGTAGGCACGATATTCTAGATATTGAGATAAGTGTGATTGCACCTACCGACAACGGACAAGATATACAGTAGTTGGCCATAAGTGAGTCATCATTAGTGAAGTTCCCATAGACTTGCATGTTAATTAACTCTTGCAAGAATAATTTTCATAAATTTAGTTTCGGTCAAATTGCTTTCAATACTTATCTACCAGCTGGGAAATCATCTGAGCTACATACACATAATTTCCATTCAATTTTCCGATGATTATTAAGAAAACTGCAACTTTTTATACAACATATATATTAGAAATACCAATCAGGTTTAACATGGCTATGGGATAGATTAAAAGTTGTACTTATGTATGGTGCTTAATCAGGTGTCATTCGATAACTAATCAACGGAAAGATGAAAGAAAATTATGTACACGTAGCTGAAGATGTTTTCCAATATGTTTGCAAAATATCAAAATAAAATGACTTCTACTCAGTTGATAAAAATTATTCTTGCAACAGTTAATTAACATGTAAGTCTATGGAACTTTCACTAATGATGACTCACTTATGGCCACCTACTGTAGGTTATCTTGGGGCTTGATATGGCCCGCCGTGATATTGCTGGAATATTGCTAAAAGCGGCGTAAAACCATACTCACGCACTCACTGATATGGACAGGTTAATTTCTGTTTAATTTCTCAAAAATACGTATGAGGACAATTACATTGTGTATAAATTATTGACAATGATGAATATAGGACCATGTATCTCACTCCCTGCCGTACAAGTTCTTGTATTAAAAAAAATAAACCCGATACACCGGCGCCGTACCCTTTGGTGAATCACTGCTTGATTCAAGTCTCAAAACCTGTACCACACTGTTTTGCCTATTACTATTTTACCGTTATGTCTTGCGAAGAAATGTCAGATATATGCCACATAGGTCATGGTATTTGAACACCGCCAAATCATCACGGCCAGCAGACATAGATACAGCTCACTTTGGTAACAGTAATTGGAGACTTTTCAAAGCCGATTGGAAGCTTTATTCCACCCAGGGTCTGGTGATAACGAACAGCGATCAAACTGGCCTGCTTCATTTACCCTCTAAGCATCCCAGCCACCTGTAATCAAAACTGTCTACGTTTTTACTTCCTGTTAAAGATGAAACGCGTTATTGCGAGGGGGAATTGACGCATGGGGATCATGATCAAACATTAATACGCTCCGTTTTTCTTGTTACAGCGGGGTAAATCGATTTCCCATATGCTTCCGATGACTAGATATAAGGCACAGAAGGACAGTGTTGTGTGTTGTCAACACGATAAGCAGAATATTTGAATGACGGATGTGGGTTTTATTTGTATTCTGGGTTTATTTTTACACAAGTGCATAGTAACTATGGCTCATTTATAAACATTAACGATTATTTGTTTGAGGAGACTAAAGAAGCTGAAATAAGATTATTCTTTTAATCGGTGCAATATGAAACTGTCACAAAAGATAATGTCGCAAATGTTAACGAAAGGTGCGGGAATGAGGCAGTTCGTATTCCCCATTTATAAAATAAACGAAAAGTCAAAAGAACTATGTCTGAACATTTAATACACCAAAACCGAAACAAAACAATAAACCCAAGGAAAAATCCCCAACACTGCACATTCACCGAACTTGTGAATGATAACTATGCTTCTATGTAAATGTCTACCCGATAATGGAAGCAATCTAATTAGTATGGACATCTTTGTCCCTCATCGAAATACTGACAATGTTGAACTGA